GTGGGATACAAGAACCACAAAGGTCTTTATTGACCTGTGCATTGAAGAAGTTAAAAAAGGGGGAAGAAAAGGAACTAGCTTGACAAAGCCTGCTTGGGTAAGTCTTGGGACAACTTCACTGCAAAGACTGGGAGAGTCTATATGAAAATCCAATTTAAGAACAAATTTGACTCTCTACAAAGGAGTGGCAATTATGGGATAGGCTGCTCCGTGAGACAGGTCTGGGGTGGGATGCCAAAAGGAATATTGTTAGTGCCCCTGATGATTGGCTGGGAGAAGAAAATAGTGATAATCATTTAACTTTATTTGGCTTGCATTTTCTCTGATGTTAAAGTTTTTTTATAATGTATAATATTTTTGGTGTTGAATGCGCAGGAAGTTCCAGGCTACGAGAAAGTTAGAGAAAGAGGGCTTCAATTTTGAGCTGAATTGACTCAACTTTGTGGGTCTGTAGCTGCAAGTGGACCACAGTCATAGGCACCTTCTTCCATGACACTTCTAAGCGAAGAAGTTCCTGAAGATGATATGGAAGAAGGGTCTGGAGATAGTGATGAAATTTTGGGGGCACCAACTGGCATAAGTGGGGAGTTTAATTCGGTCACATTCAATGACAATAGTGGAGGAAGTGGAAGCAACACTGGGATGAGATAGGAAACCATTCGTGGGGGTAGAAGCACAGGTGGCGATCTACCTAGTAGCTCATTAGAGGTTAGAAAAATGGGTGAATCCATGAAGAAGAAACCCACAACCACTATGAAAATAGTAGATGCACTAAGTAGGATACCTCAAGCAAATGAAAATGATTCTCAGCGTGAACATGAAGAGATTTCAGAAGCACATGCTAGGAAGCTAGAAGAAGAAGCATGTGCTTATGAGACGTCAATTGCAAGAGTCATAGAGCACCTTAATGAAGTTGATGAAGTTGTTGATGATCCTGATTTGTTTGGCCGGTGCACAACACTCCTTATGGACAAGCCAGCTACAAGGGAGATGTATGTGGCTCTGAAGAACAAGAGGGAAAAACTCCTGATCTTCTTGAAGCATGCAACTAAGGATTGAAACTTCATTTGTGTTGCTTATTATAGTATTTGACTACTTTTTGTGTTGCTTAGAAGATGATTGTGATAATTTGTATATATTTTTAGGAATGATGTAACCAGCACTATTGTATTATGTGACTACTAAATTTCTGTAGGAATTAAACAACTTATTTTCTTATTAAATGTTTAGTAATTTCATATCAGGGTTTCTGAATTTTATGTCTATGTGCACAGGACAAGACAAAGAATGGCTAATGAAATTAAAACTCAGAAAAAAGTATCATAAACGACGAAACAAACGGGTTAATCACGTTGCAGTAGCAGTTGGTGGATACGCTTCTCTTCATTTGTGTAAAGAGCCCCAGCATACAAGTATTTATACAAGCAAGGCATGGGTAAGGGATGTTTTACAAGGCCATTCTATCCATTGTTATAACATGTTTAGGATGGAAAAGGAAGTGTTCTTCAGTCTTTGTACAGAATTGCAACAACACGGTCTAAGAAAAACTAGAAATGTTGGGATACATGAAATGATTGCAATGTTTTTAAATACCATTGGCCATGTGCTTAATAGTAGGATGCAACAAGAAAGATTTCAGCATTCAGGGGAGACAATTAGTAGACATTTCCATAATGTCTTATTAGCATGTTATAGACTTGATATGTCCAATATCAAACCAAAAGATCTAACATTTTAGCATTTGCATACAAAATACGCCCAGTGGTCAATATTGGCCCTTTTTCAAATATGCTATTGGAGCAATTGATGGAACACATATTTCATGCATTGTTGATGCAATTGAGCAAACAAAATTTATTAACCGAAAAGGAAGAGTGACGCAAAATGTAATGGCTGTTTGCGATTGGGACATGTGCTTCACTTTTGTATTGGCCGGATGGGAAGGTAGTGCGCATGATGCTCGTATATTTGACCATGCCCTCACAACTCCTTCCATGAACTTTCCCTATCCGCCTCAAGGTATATTTTAAATTGCTACAACTTATTTATGCTTAACTGTTAGAAAACAAAGTTTATTGACACCAATCATATATTTCATGTAGGCAAATATTATTTGGTGGATGCTGGCTATCTGACACCTATGGGATACATTGGTCCCTACAGATGAAGGTCATCTGTGAACACTACCATCTCCCTGATTTGTGAAGGTCATCTGCACTTGAAAATGAGAATGAGGCGTTCAATTATTTGCACTCAAGTCTACAGAGCACTATTGAAAGAACGTTTAGAGTTTGGAAGAGTAAGTTTGCAATTTTAGGAAACATGCCGAGCTATGACTTTCCAACACAGGTTCAAATTGTTTGTGCAACGATGGCCATACATAACTTCATTATATCAACATCCATTTCTGATCCTGGTTTCATTCAGTTTGAACAAGAAGGTTCTTATACAGAAGAAAATAATGATGATGATGGAGTTGGATCTTCACATATACCTTCATCAATAGAATCTTCATCTCACATGGCTCGGCTTCGTGACTCCATAAGAGATCAAATTGTTCACTATATACAAAAATAGTCATGTCCTTTATATTTTCTTTTTCTTTTATGATAATGTAATGTGTTGTTAAAAAAAGGGAAAATGGCAATTAGGTCCCACTCAAGGAAATTAAATACCAAAAAATCCTTTGAAATCATGAAATTATTTTAAAGTCCCAAAATTTTTTTGCATTAAATTTTATTTGTTTACTTACCAAATTACTCTTTTTTTTTTAAGTTTGTATTGACAACTGAAAGAGCAATGGTTGACAACTCAGGACGCAAGGATTGACAACTATCGCGGCTGGTTTGACAACTTATGGTGTGATATGCTGAGAAAATGTGTTGTCAAACCAACCGCAATAGTTGTCAATCCTTGCGCCCTGAGTTGTCAACTATTGCTCTTTCAATTGTCAATACAATTTATATAAAAAAAAAAGAAGGGTAGTTTGGAATTAAACAAATAAAATTTATTACAAAAGGTTCCTTGGGATTTAGAATAATTTCATGATTTTAAGGGACTTTTTGCATTTAATTCCTTGAGTGGGACCTAATTCAATTCTCCCTTAAAAAAGACTACTTGGACAAATATATTTTGTTGCAACTTCTATTATTAAGACAATTAATATGACATTTTTTTGTGTGGTTATTTAATTTTGTGAAAAAAATTATGGGATTTCATCTTTAAAATTTTTAAGAAATAATAATATTTCTTTTTGGAAAAATAAATCATTTTACTAAAAACATATTTAATATTTTATTAATATATATACACATTAATTTTTTATTATTTATATTATTTATGTCTTATTTATTATGTTGCCAAAATATATATTATTAACAAATTTATTACTTCAAATAAACATATATTATGAAATATATCTTACATGTAATTATCATTTAAACTTATGTCCTTTTTAGTAATTTCTACATATAAAAAAGTACTTTTGACAACAATTATCCAAACACTCTCATTTTATCAGAATAACTTTTTCAAAATCTATTCTTTCAAAATCTATTCTCTTCAGAATCTATTCTTCAGAAGCTATTTTCCAAACTATGGTTTTGCCTTATCCAAACACTCCCGAAATAAATATGTGGAGGAATTTGTCTCATTTTGCAGAAAAGTGCTTCTGAGAAGCACTTTTAAGGAGTGCCAAACACTCCCAAGAACACGTAGAGGAAGTTATCTGATGCAGGAGTTATCTTGGAAGACCACAATGGAATTTTACTTACTGTTTGATTATAATCTTCAAAGATAAATTTAGGTTCCTTTTTTTACATCTAAATAAGGACACCTGCATCATTCGTTACCGTCTTGACAGGGCCCCCACCATGTGCAGCCACCTCTTTTCTTCATCCATCAAAACTTCAACAGTGATTTTTGTACGACCTTATCAACTGGCATCACTAGGTAGAAATAATTTTTGTAAGCAGAAATTCCATAGTTGAATTTGTTATCTCCACAATTTTATTTTCTTTATATGCTTGTTGAATTTCAGAGATGACCATGTTCTGAGTTATGATTGAGTAAGGGAATTATTTGTCAATTTTCCTGACAGCAATCAAAATTCCTTGCATCTTAATGGATGCATTGCACGAGATCCTTAGTCCACACACAGTACATGCAGGTTACAGAATCAATCTGACTGTTATTTATGATTGTTATTCTAGGAGGCTGTTTCACAAATGAGCATAAAAAGCCACATTTGCATTTAAACTGAAAATTATTTGGAATGGAATTTGTGGTGCAAGGTCAAGGTTTCTTATTCTACTTTGTTTTGTGAAAAACCTGCTTTGAAGATGATAAGTCTTGTTCAAAAACATGTTTCTTGAGTTTTGTGGCTTATCACTTGCAGTTTTAGGAAGCTGACCTTTCTTAAAGAATTACTCTGTTCTTATTTTCCATGTTTATGGTGAGACAAAGACTTCAAATTGGTTTCACTGAAAATTAAAGAATCTGGACTCCCAACATTTACATTGTAATTAATTAAGGAAAATGATCCTCAGATAACATCGTTGGAATGGAAAGCTTTTTACTGGGGAAAAAAAATTTTAAAAACAACAATGATCTTTTGATAGTCCAGCTCACCCAACCAAGACTCTTCGTACCAAACAGTCGGACACCCTCCATTGTCCAACATGAATGACAGATTTTAAAAGGCAAAATGAGAGTTAGGGTCAGGTTTTGCAAAATAATGATAGATAATAACCCTAAAGCTTGAAAATGCCAATTAATTACCAAGGTTTAGGAAAATTCTATGAACCAAAAAGCTCTAGTTGACCTGTAAAAAGCTGGTTTTAAGTCTGTAGCAATTGGCAGCTTTAAATTTTACGTTCTCAAGTATCATTATCTTGTTTAAGAAGGTCGTAATTGTCATTTTTCCTATCTAAAAGTTGCCGCTACATCAGAAGTACTGAGGCCATATTACAAACCGAAATAAGTTCTGCTCCAATTATTTCAATAACTTGTCACATAGAACCATCATAAATCAAGTATGCTACAATCTTCTTCACAGGGAATTGAGGCCCAATACTTAAAATAAGCTCCACTTGATCACCAGGTTGAATACTTGAAATGATACTTTGCCATTCCGCATCTTCATGGAAAGTTGCCGAGTCTCCCTTACATTGTTTAACATAAGCCTTCGTGTAGTTAATTATCAAAACATTTATGAAAAATTGAGGCCTTGTGTTATCCATGGAAGAAGAATATGCAACATTCAGAAGCATCGCTTTCAAGTGACACCCTATGACTTGAGGTGCCTTAAAAATTACTGAGCGTCCTTCGCCCTTGTAGATGAACCAGTCCGGATACTGATCACCAGGGAGGTTAGAATCATCCCACCCGCCGCAACTCGATCCCTATAGATGTGGCCCAGAAAAGGGAAAATAAAATACGACTCCCTTCTTATAACATGCTCATTAGACTTGTGGGAAGTAATATTGCATTCGTAAGGTAAGTACTGTTCGTTAATGAAACTATAGATTTCTCATGCATGCAATATTGATATGAGTTGGGTACTCCAGAAAACCAACATTTCCAAACATGATGGTGCTAGAAAAGAAAACAAAGACAAACCTGTAGTATTTTGTCTCTCAGCAAGTCTACCTTGTAGCTCTCTGCCATTTGAATTAAAAGAGAATTGAGGAAATCTGCCGATGTTGCATTGTGAACTTGATCATGACCGTCAAGTGATGTAGAAGCTTCCCCGGATCTGCTTGGTGGGGATTCCAATTCCATGAAGTTTGTCCCATACAAGGCATCCGTAAGTCTTGCCATTTCTCCATTGAATCGAGACTCTGATCGGCATTCCTCCCACATACCTCGAAGCTTGGCAAGATCGCCCAGAAATGGAGATAGGCCAAGAAATCTGCCATTCTGTATAACAGAAAAAACTAGAGATGACATGCTCAGCAAAAATTCTTCACTGCTGGACCGGGGAATATCGGTGGGTGACATCCAAGACCATATGAGAGACGGAAATACATCTTGTGCTCTTCCTTCGCGGCCTGGGAAAGATACATATCCATGCTTAAGCGCTTCCAATCTTGCTAAGGCCTTGGGTATTACTGTTATGGCAGTATGATCTGCCTTTAGTACTGTCATCGATTCCATCTGCTCAATATCTTCTTCTAAATGGTCAATCAATGAACAACCAGAAAGAACGAGAGTTCTTAATGATTTCAACTTGTACATGCTTTTAGGAAGAACCCTCAGGCATTTGCAGTCTTTTAGATTTACCAAAATAATTTTTTTCAAATCTCCAATGCTCTGGTGAATTAACACTAAGCTCAGACAATCTTTCAGCACTAGCTTTTCAAGGTTTGGTAGGTTTGTAAAATCAGGAGTTTGTCTCAAGTGAGGTGAATGGCTGAGAATAAGAATTGTCAAATATGGCAACAACTGCAAAAAATGAAGTTCAATATGATAAATTAACCCAAATTATAATATTGATGGCTTAAAACATTTGAAAAAGGAGGAAAGACAAATTCATACTTGGGGCTTCTTCCAAACTAGCCTGAGGTTGCTGTATTTAAAGTCAACAACAACTAAGCTTTTCTGGTGCAAGCTGTCAGGTATGGATTTTAAAGGAAATCCATGCCAACAAAGCCACCTTAGCTTATTGGAAAGATGCCTATAATCTCCTTCAAGATTTACATATTCTAGTTGGAGCAATCTGAGTTTTCTCATTGCCTTGAATGCTTTAGAATCAATCTCACATACTTCATGGGGCTTCTTGAGGGATATGCCCTCAATAACTTTTGTTGCCTGTTAAAACATACATAAAAATGTTACAGAAAGAAGTCCCATTACCATAAAAATTTTAAGAAAAGCGGTATGAAACTTGCAAGTTGGAGCAGCAAAAAAAAAAAAAAACTACCTAACTTTGTGAAAAGAACAAATGTATATTCTTTGACATCAAAGCCTGCAAAAGAAAATAGGACATGAAAGAAATTCTTACCGTATTTTGCATTAACACTTCAGTTACGTCCTCTTGAAACCACAATCTACTGCGATCCTCAGGGTCCTTTCGAGGGCTTCCACAAATGATTTCTCTTCCCATGTCACGTAATAAGCCATGCATTTCAAGCTTGTTATTGTTCCTATTAACATTTAGCAGGCTTCGCTCAATGAGGGTTGTTATACCTATTTTTGCCTTAAATCCACATCCATTTAATATGTGCGTGGCATAATTTCTATCCTTATTGAAAAAGAAGCAACAAATATCAAGAAATATATTCTTCTCCATATCATCCTTTAAACCATCAAAACTTATTTTTAACTTTGCTTGTATCTCATCATTCGGAATCTCTTCTAATTTGGACAACACTTCCTCCCATTCTTCAATTTTTCTGTCAAACAAATAAGAACCAAGCACTTCAAGAGCTAGAGGAAGCCCACCACAGTAAGCAACTACATTTTTAGAAAGTTCTATGAAGTCTTCAAGGGGAGCTTCTTGCTTAGAAGCATGCCAACTAAAAAGCTCGAGTGACTCAATTTCATCCATTGTTCTCATTCTATACTTGTGGTCAGCTCTAATAACACTAAGCAGATGGAGATCTCTAGTTGTTATGACTATTATACTCCCTGGACAAAACCATTCAAGACTTCCACAAAATGTATTCAGCTGATTGACACTATCCACATCATCCAATACAACAAATGCTTTTATGTTGGGAAATCTTTCCTGAATTATTCTTTTCCCTCTATCAATGTTAGGTACCTTGAAAACTTCTGTATTAATGATATCAGAAATGAGTTGCTTTTGTAAATTAACTTGGCCATTAGAATGCTTTGAATTTTCTCTTATACTTGCAAGAAAACTTCTTGCTCTTCTAAACTTACGACCAATTGTATTGTACAGGGCTTTGGCAACAGTAGTTTTACCAACGCCTCCCATCCCCCAGAGGCCGATGATAAGAGCTTTTCTAAATCTCTTTTTTGACAATTTACTTGCCAGGTGCTGAACTCGAGACTCTATTCCCACTGGATGGTCAACAACAAACAATTGTCCATCATCTACTTTCTCTAAAACATCCTTCGCAATGGTGTTAACTAGCTCAGCTTCAGACCTGTCAATAATAAATGTCCGTAAAACAATAGAATCAACCATATAAATAGCTTCATTATCAGAAATAAAACCTACAAGACTTGCTTTTAAACAGGAAGAATTTTAGTGGGCCATTAAGAATAAGAAATGGACCAATTTAGCCATTAAATATGTATATGCATCACAGGAAAACTTTTAAGTGATGGATAAATCGGGGGCATTAATTTCTGGACCCCAACAGGAGAAGGCTTCAAAAGAAGGCCAATGGCACAAGGAGGCTATTGGAGCTCTGCCAACACTTTTTTGACCAGCGAGCTCTGTTAACACTCAGTTTTTAGCCCTACATATATTTTTAATTGGACCTTTGTTTGCTTATATTTAGCACAGAATTACAGGATTATATTAGAATTAAATACTTGTCCGCGGCCTCGAGAGCAGAACAGAAAACGCAAGTATAATAATTACTCCAACATTTTCAACTGTGCGATGAATTTATAGCTATAACTTTTAAAAGTCACATAAATTTACTCTAGAACAAAAATAAATTATACAAACTGCGTTTGAATTTTTTTAAGAAAAAATTATAAATTTTACTTTTATTTTCTAGACATCTATAGCCTGTAATATATATATTATAAAAGATTTCGAATGTTTACTAAATTATATATATTTTTTCTATTGAATTCCGTTTTGATTTTAAAAATAAAATTATGAAGGCATTTTGAGTTTGACCCATCGTCATTTCCACCCTTTTTTTTGCCTTAATGAGAGCTGGGTTGGAATACATTACCGAAATGCACTGGTAGCAAAGCCGGAGAGATTGCCGATTTCCGTGAGTGCCTCCCTCCAGCGCAACACCGAGCGATCACCTCCCCCTCCCAACCTCTGCTCGTGTCGTTCCATCGCTTCACCATATGCGCCTCTCTGATGACGAACATCAGACGGATCTATGTGATAGAATATGGGAACAACCACCTGAGCTGCAGATCTTCGACACTCCATTATGTTCACCAGTTCATCCAGACACCATCTGGAAGATGCAAAATTTTGAGACAAAATTACCAACGCAATTTCTGATATTTCAATTGCTTGCAATAATGAGGTAGAGATCTCTTCTCCCCTTTCAAGCTCTTCATCGTCCCTAAAAACATGGATTCCTGACTGTGTTAGAGCGCTATAAAGATGAGTAGTGAAACCGCGACGAGTGTCTTCGCCTCTAAAACTCAAGAACACGTCGTAAGTCCAGGAAGAACTAGAAGAAGAAGAAGCCATGGCTTATTGAGGGAATCAGAGAAGAGGGCAACAAACGCTTCAACGGATCGATCACAATTCATCACAAGATATAGAATATCGATATGGCATCCACGTGAGTGAGTCCCCAAGCCTGAATACAAACAAGCCAGTCGCCAGTCAGTTTTTTTTTTTTTTTTGGTCGCCAGAAGTCAGTCGACTATAATTGGGTTAAGTTTTTGTTTAGGCTTTCTTTGGAAATCAACTTCCCAAAACACTAGTTTAATCATCTGTGATTTTATGCTTTGTCGAGGCATCCAAAGTTAACCACAATTACTTAATACTTCAATTCAATTAAATATATCATATTATAGTGATCTCTTAATTGGGCTACACAAATTATTGTTGTATGCCATCCTCCGACATCGCAGTTGTGTTGCGCCAGCTCGGAGTCCATATGCATGTGGGGCCTTTCACTCTCTCAGTTACTGACGTGTTTGTTTTAGGTTGTAAGAAAATACTTTGCTCAATATATTGATTTTAAAATAACATGCAAAAAATAATTTCATTTTGATTTGACTTTAGTCCTTAATTTGATGGTGTCATTTTTTTTATATTTGAGTTATTTTTTTTATTAAATTAGTTTTAAAATTGACTAAAAATCAAATAAGAGTATTATTGTCATTGTAAATGTCATACCTTTTCTCCCTCCCATTTTTTCTCCCCTCTATCTAAACACAATAAGGGATAATATCATCTATCCGTTTTCTCCTCTCCTAATTTTCTCTCCATCCAAACAAACTTAGTGTTACGTTCTTGACATGGTCCCCAACATATGAAGCCACCTCATTCCTTCATGCATCAAAACTTCAACAGTGATATATTGTTGAGTATGACATTCTCCTTAGGCAAAAATGATGTTTTTTTTTTGTGAGCAAAAGTTCAATAGTTGATGAAATTAAAGACACTTGATTCATTATCTTGCTTAAAAGGGTCGATAATTATCTTTTTTCCTTTCTAAAAATTACAGCACATCAGAAGTAAGGGGGTTATATTACAAACCGAAATCAGTTTTTGCGACAATTTTTTCAATAACCTGCCCCGCTTAGAATCATCATAAATCAAGTATGCTGCAATCTTCTTTGCGACAAATTGAGGCCCAATACTTAAAATAAGCTGCACTCCATTTTAAGTAGTAGTTAAAATTGATTACAGGTAATAAATATGTAAGTTCAAAAAGCACCCTTATTTGTTAAATTAGTGTACCCATTTGGATTAGTGTTTTAAACAAATGTGATTCACGGCAATCGTGATTTTTACCTTTTATAAGTAATTTTAATTAGAAGTGATGTTAGTTAATCATAATTTCAGTTGAATTACTTTTTTAATAAATGATTTTGAGAAATTTGATGATATTTGAATTTTATTTATTAAAATCATTTATTGGTGTATAATTATAAAAAAAAGTATATGAATTTTATCATTAACAGAACAAAAATGGAACACGATATTAAAAATTTCATTCCCGTTCAAATGAGCTATTAGTGTCTTTTTTTATATATAAAAAGATGTCCTCCCCGAAAAAAATTCCCTTTTCATAAAGCGGGGCGGAGCATCATTCCTGTAGTTGATATTATATTCATTGTTGACGAAGAAACCTGAAAATTTTGATTGATAAATACTAATCTTCAAAGATCAAAGTTATAATTAATTCAAATTTAAGGGATCAAAAGTTTTATCATCTTTTCTTTTATAGTAATATATAGGGCAATAGTTATATCAAGTTTCTTACATCTATTATATTAAGTTTTTCAATTACATATGAGTTGTGTCATAATTTTGAAATATTATCATTTAATTATAATTCAAATAAAAAACTTAATATAATAAATATAAATAAGTGTATTAAAGAATAAAAAAATAGAAAAAATTATAACGAGGTCCCACCAAAAAGAATTAGATACAAAAAGGTATATTAAAATCATCAAATTAATTTGAAGTCCAAGAACCTCATCATCAAATTATTTAATTTTTTAAGGCAGGAGCGTATTGCAATTTTTCTAAGAAAAGATGCATAATGATAACAGACTCGCCGTGGAAAAGGACGCTCCGTGAGGAAAAAGCAAATTAGAGGTGATGGTAATGATGCTGTGGCAGAATGATTACTAATTAGTAATTACGCTAATTTTTTTTTCTTTTTAGTAAATTGCATCCAAGAATGTACTTTTTCAATAATGTCATTTACAACCTTTTCTTTTGCCCCCTTTTTTGATTTTGTCCTCTTCTTTTTTTTTTTATTTCATTCCTCTTTTTATTTGTTTTCACACCAAAACATGATAAAATAATTATTTAAAGCAATCTGAACATGGAAGAGAGAGAAAGAGAGGATGGCAATGGGTAGATTCAAAATACTTGTGTTGTTTTAAATATAAAACCTATTTTGTAATGAATACATTATAAAATAGATTTTATATTTAGAATCGAAGGAGTACTTATTAGTCTTGTTTGGTATGAAATATTGAAAATGAGAGATGGGGATTAAGATTGTAATTGAGAAAAATAACTAAAAAAATATTTAGCATGAATAATTGTTTGTTACATTAGATTAGGCAAACCCATAAAAATAAGATTAGAAAGTACCACTCCTCCTATGACATTTTCCAACCCCATATATATGGGTTTATCTAATTCAATATAATAAGTGAAAAAATTTATAATTTTTTCCATTCTAATCTTAATTTTTGTTTCTCATTTTTAATGCTTCCTGTCAATGAGAACATTAATTCAAGCGAAGACTGAAAGTCACGCTTTACGGCTTGAATATTTTTTTTATTAATATAGTAGTTTCTTTCAGGAATTGTTGACTTTATTTAGATCGATTGTTTTAGGAAAAATATAATTGTTTTTTCTCCCCCCCCCCCCAAGTAATCGTATCCAAGAATGTACCTTCTCGAATTCAAATGAAAAAGGAATCTACATTTTATATCATCTACAACCTTTTGCCCTTTTTTCTCTGTTTTTATGAATTTCAATTCTCTTTTTTCTGCCCCATTTCATTTGAGAAAAATTGGTGAAAATCCTCATTTGACAAATTAATTGAAGAATAGGACTTGTAATAAATATAAAGATGTGAGTTTCTCAAATATCACTAAGTGTGACACCATAAATAAAAAACATATTGTTATGATAGATGCTAATTAAATAAAATAGATTCTCACTTACATGTAATAGATCCTCACTTGCCCAAGACGAATGTTTATTTGCACATAACTCATTGTATATGACGGTAACCAACTTGCCTATAAGTTTATTGTGTAATATGGATGCTAATTGCATATAATAGATACTCACTTAAATATAATAGAGGCTTATATGCGTACAAGGAATAAAGGAATTCCTACTTATATATGGATTTATTGTGCAATAAGGATGCTTATTTGCATATAACGATACCAACTTGCATATAACTTTATTGCCTATATGATCCGGGGTGTTTGATGTGTAATAAGTTTACTTGCATATAAGTTTCTTGAGTAATACCAATATTTTTTTTTGAATTATGTATATATTAAATAGAAATAAAATTAAAATATTATTATATTTTAATAAAGAGTTAATATAGTTTAAAATTTTTCTCGATCTATATAAAATTTATTAAAAATAAATTATAAATAGAATTAGAGGAGTATATATCAGTCTTTGTTTAAGTTCCTTTTGCAAATCAACTATTCAGTTATATCATTTCAGTGATATCATAATTAGGCTGATCTTAATTAACTTCTTAAAGAAATTATTCTACGTATTCAACCCGCTGACATCACAGTCGTGTTGCGCCTGCTTGGAACCCATGATAAGGTGAGGTTCTTCGTTGAGCGAGCTGGGTTGGTATCTACGATTAATTCATTTATTAGCCACTCAAGTTTGAATATTTCCAAAAACAGGTCGTTGCTAAAAAATTTCTATTGATAAAACCGGAGCGACTGTACGTTGATGACGAAAAACTTGAAAGAATAATTCATAGATAAATATTAGGATAAAATAGCACGCAGTAGTGTGATTTTATTTTTCAGATGCACTTATAATGCATCTATCACGTTGATCCTCTTTCTCTTGTACATCCATCCAACATCTTGATCTTATTTTTGTAGTATATTTAGCACCCTGATGATTTTTTTAATTACATCCAGCATCCTAATTTTTACGGTGCTTGATGTACTAAAAATAAGATTAGGATGTTGAGCGTACTAAAAAAATAAGATCAAGATGTTGGATACACCATATGAAAGATCAAGATGTTGGATACATCTAACAAAATAAGATCACAGTTTCAAATTCAAACAAAAGAAAACAAGTAAGATGAGATAAAAGTAATAAATATGCAAAAGAAAAAAAGAATTTTTTTGGTCCTGTTATTTATAGGGCAAATCTAGAAGGAATTTTCTTTCCCAAATATAGGCCGTTAATCAACTCATTAATTGCTACTTTTCAATTTTATCTATATTAATAATTAATATTTAGTGTTGGAAAGCTCATTGAATTCTGTGTTCATCTGTCTACGTGATTTAAATTCCCAATCTTGAAAAAAGTTATCAATATAGAACAGATTTAATGCTGCTTCTTTTTTTTTTGACCAAGTAAACAGATTTAATGCTTTAACCATCGTTTATTGGCATGTTAGAATTAGTTGAGAATGAATGCCCTAAGGACGAAAGAGAGCATATGCTTATTTAATACTCACTCTGTTCCTTTTTATAAGATACAATTAATCAAATTGTGTTATTCAAAAAATTACTTAAAATTGGTTAGGGGTCATAAACAACATAAAAATTATTTTTTTTTGGAAAAAAGTGCCCTCATTTATGAAAAATGTGAATGGCAGAGAGTAAGTGGAAAAAGAGACGAAAGAGACATTTAATCAACTGAGGGTAAAACTGAAAAAATGTATTAAACGTTCAAACTCTAAAATGCATCTTTTAAAAAGGAACATGGGTAATGAAGAAATTGTCTCTTATAAAGAGGAAAAGAGGAACGGAGGGAGTAAGAGAGTCAATAAGAAAGAAAAATACTAATAATGAAATAAAAGATAAAAAAATGTA